ACTTTTAATCCAGGTTACAATAATCCACACTTTTAATCCAGGTTACACTCTTCCCTCAAGGACACATTTTACAAAGTAGTTACATATTGTGCAGGTATAAAGATACATTTGTATATATATATTTGTGTACATTTATTTTTTTAAGCTATTTGACTAACTTTTATTTTTATTATTCAATATTTTACTAACAGAATAGTCAAATAGCAATCTGTTTTTTGTGTGAATTTCTATGTCAGTCAAATGTTCAATTTTGGAATAAAGGGGTGGAAATTAAAACGTTTTTTTTTTTGCCGATTCATCGATTAATCGAAAAAATAATTGGCCGATGAATCGATTATTGAAATAATCGTTAGTTGCAGCCCTATATTTATTATCTGCATCGATTTTATGTCTATATTCTGATTTAACTTATTTTGTATATTGCTTTGTGTGTTGCCTGTTTTTCTGTCTGTACAGCACTTTGGTTGGCCTTGTCGCTGTTTTAAGTGCTCTATAAATAAAATGATATGGTATGTGAGGAGGACAAGACCAGTCAGTGTGAATCCATTCACACTGGCAGAACAAGGAAAAATTAAAAAAGAAAAGTGAGATGAGTGCCACAGGACAGTCACAAACTCTTTTTCTACAGTGGATGCTGCATGGTTGAGGTAAGTAAGCTGTAAAGGATATTGTTGACCAGTTAAGCCTTTATCTCTCAGCCTAGATAATGGTTTTTGAGCAATAATAACGCAACCATGTTATTGTTGATGTTTTGTGTTCTAATGTCAATTAGGGAGAATACAAAAGCCCTAAACCCCAGAGAACCACAGAGAAGATTCAGGAAGAGACACAGCGGTACAGAAGTCTGCCATCAACCCTAACCTCAGTGAATCCAGTGACCTGCTGGTGGAATGTGAGGGACACTATGCCAGTGCTATCAAACTTGGCAACCAGGTATCTCTGTGTGCAAGCATCATCCACAGCCTCAGAGTGAACATTTTCTACTGCTGTAGACACCATCAGCCAGGAGCGGGCTTGTTTGTGTCCAGAGAAAGCAATGTTGATTTTTCTGAAGAAAAACTGCTAAGTGAAAAGGTCCCAAGTATGTAGCAGTGAACATTATGCCACTTTTCCATTAGTGCCTTTAGTACCCGTACAGCACAGTTAGACTAGACTTAGTACGGTACGAGTTGTGTTTCCATTTACTTTCAGTACCGGTTCTAGGGGGCAGGGTCCAGGATAGAGGATGACATTTTTTCGGGAGTACTGCCGGTCACGTGAATCCGGCCGGATTCCGGCGGGACCGGAGTCAACTTTATTATAACTCCCGTTATCGGGACCGGACAGGACGAAAACTTAACGGGAGCAGACGGGAGCGGGAACCAACATACGACAAAAAAAGAAATAGGCAAAAAAATAATAATAATAAATTTCAGACAGGCGGCTGCGCCAACAGCTTCCGGCGCCTTTTCCAGCCGCTACTTCCGGCCGCCTTTTCCAACCTCTTTGTTTACTGTATCAACCAACATCATGGAGGGAGCATACGCCAGCGGAGAAACCGAGAGGGTAAAAAATATTTTGCAACGCAAAGTTAGGAATAATGATGCATCTGTTAGGTTAACAGAACTGTCAGGGAAGGCGCTAATAGTTCAGAACTTTATGAGAGTCGAGTGTGACGGTGTGAAGACGCTCTACGCTGCTTGCAAAACATGCTCAGTTATAATAAAGTACGTCACTGACTCGGGGACGAGCGGTCTGAAGAGGCACACTTGCAAGGCTAATTTCTGAACGAATCAGCCAAGCATTTCTTCATTCATTAAACGAAAAGTACCGTCGGGAGTCAAGTCTCGTATGACCAACAAAATAGCCCGCATGTGCGGCGTAGATTTGAGACCATTTGCTGTAGTAGATGGGAAAGGTTTCATCGACGTCATACAGGAGGCAATCGACATTGGAGCAAAGTATGGAAACAACGCTGAGGCACAAGACATACTGCCATGTGGACGCACGGTCTCCCGTCATGTTCAAGGAGAATATGATCAAATTAAAAAAATGGTCATGGAAGAGCTCCATCAGGTATGTCTGTCACGCTGCACTATTTTATAATACAGTACACACATTTTACCTTGACATCATGCAGTAGTCTAATTATAGATTTCCTAACACTAAATCTGTTTTTTCTCCTCCTTTTAAACTGCTTAATCTCTCAACTATAAATTAGTCATCTGTTTTACATGTAATATACTTTGAGAGCTAATAACAATATACGTAATTCCTTTGGTGCAGACTAGAGACCATGCAATCACGACAGACCTTTGGACAGAGGAGAGGACAAACACACACTACATCACCGTTACAGTCCATTACATCTTGGATGGGAAGATGGTGAACCGTATTCTGGCCACAAGGGAGATGGAGGGTGTCAAATCCACTGAACACATCGGAGGGACTGTGGAGAAAATCCTTCAGGTATCTCACACTCAAATGAGATAATTATCTTTATTTACATGGCATATTAGCTTTGTAGAGGTCTAGTATAGAGCTGTATGAATGGGTAAATGAGGCACAGATTGTAGTGTAAAGCGCTTTGAGTGTCTTGAAATAAGACAAAGGCGCTATATAAGTACAGTCCATATGCAATAAATATTGCCAATTAATTCGTAAAATTGGGAAAAGTATGAGAACATGGTGCAGCAATAACAAGAACATGTCACAGAAGGAACAATAGAAAAGACAAATATATATATTTTTCATTCAACCTTTACAGGCTAACCTCATTGAGTCACGAGGACTCGTTTTCAAGAGACCTGTTCCAATCCAGACAGACAGAACATATAAAGTACAGACAACAATAACAGTGAACAATAATAACGATAAACTACAGTAAAAATGCAGTAAAAATAAAAGTAGTGTCTAAAACAATAAATCAGGGTGCCATAAAAAATGTAAAATACTAAAAACAAGAATATATTTGCTTTGAGATTTCTATTGACATTAAGAAATGTTTAAAACCCCTCACAATAAATTAAGGTGGACAACTTCAGTTCCTGCTGAAAGGTGTTCCAGGTTGCAGGAGCAGACTAACCTGGAATATAAATCAGTGCATCAGTAAGCGTGTGTCACGGTCCTTCGCTGTACATCAGTCTGTGCCGTGGTAGGCAGCAACTTAGGCAGATTACCATAGTATTTTACCTTAATTGCAGATGGAGTTTTCCTTCATTTGATACACAACACATGTGTAATATGTGTAATATGTTTTGTCCTAATGTAGTACTATAAATTTATTGAAAAGTGCTTCGTACAATTACATGACTGTTGATCAATCTGTTTAATGATTATCATATGTCTGGTCTTCTTATTTGCTAAGTTTTTGGTTTGTCTTTGTTTTGTTTTTTTACCTAACAGGAATTTGGCATCCTGAGCAAGCACACTGTGTTTGTGACAGATAATGGCTCAAACATGATCGCTGCTTTCAAGGATTATGTGCGACTCTCCATAATATCAACTTGATGTTAAAACACGTATTTGACCACTTGGATGAGGACAACCCAGTACACAGCAGCGTCATCAAGCTGTTTAAGGACACAAAGACCCTGGTCACACATTTCAAAAGGGCAGGGTAAGATACATAAAATCTTGTAATCTCTGCCGGGTGAGGCTGCTTAAATAATCATAAAATATGATAAGTGAAATAAATAAAGAAAAATTGAGCTA